AATCCTGCCTCATGCCATTGGCTAGCTGGGTGAGCCTGGCTGCAAAATTCCTTTAGCCTCTCTGAGCTTCTATTTTCATCTAGGTAAAATGTGCCTTATCATATCCATCATCTCAAGATAGGAAGGAAAAAAGAAGCTCAGTAACCATCAGTGTCCTGACTGGCTCCTCTCAATTCTGATTCCTGAAGAACAATGATGCCTAACCAGATAGCCTACATTTCACAAGGCAAATATGGAGGTCCTTCCACCTTAGCAAGCCTGGACCCTCCTCTGGCCTGGGTTTTCCACTTCACAAAACAAGGATAGTCAATGGGTAGCTGGTCCCAGACATTGCCTTTGAAGGGTAGAGACTGCTGAATACCACCAGGGGGTGCTGGGCCCCAGCCCTGGTTGAAAGGGTCTGGGCTCCCTCAGGCCAGTAGTCTGGTGGGACCTGTTCTAGCCACTCACCATGTCAGAAGCCAGTGGATCTGGGGATTGACTCTGGTGACTGGGCCATTCATAATTCTGTCCTGTCACAGATGTAACCAGCTTTGTTATAAATAATAGCTCTCCACAAATGTCAACCAAGCTTTCGTTTTTCTCCTTTGCAAACAAAAATTACAAGGTCCCCTAAGGGATGTTGTGACAATCCAGGAGGAAGGGACAGTGGCTGTAATAGCATGGTCAAGTCCAGAACAGAGAAAGCTTGTCTTCGTGTGTGTTCCCACAGAGCTTGCATGGAGCCTCTTGGGAAGCCACCCAACACTCCCCTGCAAAGACAGGATGAAGGCGCCAGTGGCCCCCTTTCCCACTGCCCAACCCCATGTCCTCTGGGCAGGGAGAATAACCCAGGAGCAGTGTGGGGGACGGAGGGAGTGCTGTGATGATGAGACCAGGAGAGGAACACCTCAGGGATCTCAGGGCGAATGAAGGCAGGTGAAGGAACAAAGGGAAGAGGCCTCATAGTTGTGGCTCCCAGGGCAGGAATTTGGCCATGTCCTCTATCACCCCTTTTTGGGGCTCTCTAACCTCAGTCTCTGCTGCTCTCAGTTACCCAGCCAAATATCAGTCATTTATGGTATATCTATTCCTGGGTCCAGAGCAGGAGGAAGGGAAGGAGAGAGGTTTCTGCAAGGAGCTCAGAGGCAAGAAAGTAGGTGGGGGTTGGGTTGCTATTGTTTTGTTTTGTTTTGTTTAAAAGATGAGGACATTGTCAGAAATGTCAATGGTGCCAGTGAGCCAGCACCATCCCTCAAGACCTTTCTTACAGGTCATCTTAATAGGCTCCTTTATTACCTGGTGAAGGAGGCAGGAAACCAAGGCTGGGAGAAGCAGTTGAGGTTGCCTAAGACCACAGGAGGGATCAGGACTAAACCCAGGTCCACGTGGTTCCAGGGGCTACACTCTATCCCAATTACCAGGACACTTCTGCTGACCAGAGCCTGGTCCAACTCTTAGGCCAATGTCTTATTTCCAAATTGTGTGGCAGCAGCAGGGTTTAGGTTGGGGTGTGACTGCCCTCAGATTCCAGTACCCATGGGATCCCCTAACCCCGGGAGAAGCCCTTGGGCTAAGGATAGCTGAGAAATTCACACAAACACCTTAAACCTCTCATCCTACTCCCTCAGGAGCTACTTTATCCTGATTTGGGGCTCAGGACACTAATTTGAAGTCTAGACCCTGTCAACACTTCCCTCCATCTGAGTCTAGAGTCTCCATCTGCCCCTAATCCAATATGTCTGGTGTCCTTTTAAAAAGGGTGAAATTCGGACACAGAAACAGGTATGCATAGAGGAACTTCTAGCCCAGAAGAAATGCCTGGAACAGATCCTTGCCCCCTTCTTCACCAAAGGAATAAATCCTGCTAGCATAACAGCTTGATTTCAGACATTTAGCCCCTAGTCCTTTAAACACCCCAGTTCTCTTGTTTTGTTTGACTTATTTGCTGGGGATGGAATGAGGACCTTGCATATGCCAGGCCAGGGCTCTACTACTGAACTACCTCCCTCACCCTCAGGTTTGGTTTTTTATGTCAGTTCTATAAAACTAATACAGTAGACCCCCTACTTATCTTGTTTTCTGTGGTTTCTGTGATCTGCAGTCAATCAAGTTCCAAAAATATTAAAAGGAAATTTCCAGAAATAAGCAATTCATCCATCTTAGATTTCATGCCATTCTGAGTAGCCTGACAAAATCTTATACTGTGCACCTCCATCTTGCCCAGGATGTGAATCATCCCATTGTGCAGCATATCCAAGTAGTGTACACTGCCTGTTAGTTACTCAGTAGCTCTCTGGGTTATCAGAGAGGCTATAGAGGCATCACAGCACTTTTGTCCAAGTAACCCTTATATAGTAGCCTAAAGCTGCCACACAGTGCCTACATCATCCACCCACTTCACCTGATTACACGGGCATCTTACCATCTCACATGGTCACAAGCAGAATGAGTACAGTCCAATTAGCTATTTTCAGAGACAGAGACCCACATTTACATAACTTTTATTATAGAATACTATTATGATTATTCTATCTTAGTGTTTTTAATCTCTTGTGCGTAATTTATAAATTAAACTTTATCATAGGCATGTATGTACTGGAAATAACAGTGTACACACTATAGGGTCAGTACTATCAGTGGTTTCAGACATCCACTGGAAGTTTTGATACCTATCCCTGCAGACAGAGGGGACTATTGTATGAAAAGGCAATCATGGAGCACTCACAAGGGTTCAACTACTCTGAGAGCCTCATGCTAGAGAGGCCACGTGTAGGTACTGTGGTCAACCGACTTATCTGAGCAGAAACTGTCTGCAGCTATGAATATAATTCGTATCAGTTCTCTTCCATTAGCCTCAAACTTACCACAGCTCTCCCAGACAGACCAACAGACAGAGGATCATGGACACCTACACACAGATACGTCCTCCCACTCCCCTGGCTCTTCAACTACACATGATCAAGCTCCACTGCATGTGCCCATCTCCCCCAGCTGGTACAGAGGAGAGAAGACAGGAAACGAAGTAGGATGGGAATGGACCTCAGGAAATGGCAAAATGGAGAAGCCAGAGAGACAGACTCCATCCTGAGAAACAAGAATGGCTTCTGGGAGGCAACGTCTACCCAAAGGTGTATTTTAGGCTAAAGAGAAGAAAAGGGCTTTCCCCGCAGGGCAAGTGGCCTGGGCAAAGGCCCAGAGCATCAGAATCCATACAGTCCAGGGCCTATTCCAGCCCCTGGACCAGTGTCCTCTGTCCCACACTGCTGGCCCTACCTCAAGAAAGGCTGGGGGACAGCATCAGGGAGGGTGGCCCCCTAGTGCAGGTTGTGTCAGAGCAGAGCCAGGCCTAGAGTCTTCTCACCTCCCAGGGTCACCTGTCTGCAAACAGGCCTGCATGGCCCTTACGCCCCCGTAATGCCGCCCAGCCTTCCTGCCTTTCTTACCCTGTCTGGGTCTGGACACAGCTTCAGCCTGATTCTCCCTCTCATCCCCCAGCCACCTGCCTCGGACTTAGGCAGGTCCTGCTGAACTGGAGGAAGTCCACAGTCAGGCCTTTCCTTTAGGGGGCCCTCAGACCATAGAGGCGGGGTGTGGGGAGGACACAGAGACATGGGTAGGTCTCTTAGTGAACAGAGCAGTAGCCATGAAAGTTCAGTGGCCAGAGAGGAGAGAAAGAGTATAGGTCAGGGCCAACCAAGGCAGGCTTCCTGGGAGAATGAACTGAGAAGGAAGGGTGTCTGAGATCAGGTTATCCAGTTGAAACACCCATGGGGTGGAAGGGACTGGAAGGTATCCCTATAGTCTTGTCACCAGGAAGGCACAGTTAATGACTCATGCACTGTATGTACATTCAACAAAGTGGGGAGGAGGGTTTTGAGAGAAAAAGTGACCTCCACACTCTCATTGTTCCTTCTACTCAGGTGACAGGTTCCTTAGAAGTGATTTTTTTTTGGGGGGAGGGAGTACAGGGGATTGAACTCAGGGGTGTTTTACCACTGAGCTACATCCTCAGCACCCCCCCATGCCTTTTTTTTAATAACTTTATTTTATTTATTTATTTTTATGTGGTGCTGAGGATCAAACCCAGGGCCTTGCACATGCAAGAAGAGTGCTTTACCGCTGAGCCATAACCCCAGCCCCTGCCCCACCCCGGCCTTTTTAAAAATATTTTTTTAGTTGTCAATGGACCTTTATTATTTATTTATTTATATGTTGTGCTGAGAATCGAATCCTGTGCCTCACACATGCTAGGCAAGCACTCTCCCACTGAGCCACAACCCCAGCACCCCCAGCCCTTTTAATTTTATTTTGAGACTGGGTTTCTCCAAGTTGTTTAAGGCCTCGCTAAATTGCTGAGGCTGGCATGAAGTACAAGCCTCCTGCCTCAGCCTCCCGAACCGCTAGAATTAAAGGCGTGCTCTTGAGCTCTTGATCTACCTCTATAGCCGACACACCCACCTCGCCCCATAAATGGTTTTTCCTCCCCAGCCCCATCCTTGATCCCATCTTAACCTCCAGACTTTGCAGCCCCGGAGACTAGTAGTACAGCTTTTTGGGGGAGCAGGGGTACAATCCTAGAGTGTTGGTATCTTGCCCGGCCCTATACCAGTCTTCATCTTTGCCCTGCGAGGTTTCTATGTCCCGGGTTACCCTCCTAGGCTGCCTAGCATGTTCCTCTCCACCTCTCCGTCTCCAGAGACTCTTCTTCTTGTTCCTTTCTCTGGAGCTCCTATCCACCCCTCTCCCATACCCCCCTTGCCTGGAGTTCCTTTCACAGAGGTCACTTGTCTGGGCGCTGTCCAGCCCCAGAATAGCAGCAGTGTCTATCTATGTTCAGCTACTAGCACAGGGAGCCCCACCCCACCCCAGCCTAGTTTGGGGCGCCTTTTTGGGGTGGCGCCGAGTCTTCTCCCTGATCTTGCACCTCCACTCTCTTCTCCTACCGAGGCCACCTCCTTGAAGGAGAAGGGAAAGGAAACAGACGCACACATTCAGTTTCTGTGAAATTTGCTCTTTATTTGGGGACAAGGAATGGACCACACATAGCCCTCGGGCCCTGATACCAGGGGGCACAGAGAAGTGGCCGGAGGGCCCTACCCAGAACTAAATATGCACTTGATGTGGGTGTAGTTAGCATAGCTCCCCGGAGGCCTTGGGGTCTTCCGCACGGGTAGGCGTCTCTGGCCCACAGGAGGGAATGGGACGGAATTGCGTCTGGAGCGCCAAGGCCGAGGCCGGGGCAAGTCTTAAGTGAGGGTGCCAGGGCGAGGTCCCGTGGGCCGGGCCATGCTCCAGGGGCCAGTGTGTGGTGAGAGGAACGCTTTTACCGCGACCTGACGGGGCGGTCATCGCCGTCGGGGAACAGCAGCTTGGAGAAAAGGGCGTCCGGGCTGTCCCGTTTCCCGTACCTGGGGGCGGGGTCACAAGGGGCGTGGTTAGGCCCCTGGTGGGGTGGGGCGGGGCGCAGGGCGGAGTCCCAGAGGCGCTGCCCCCACGCCCACGGCCACGCCCGGCGCGAGCGCTCACCGCTGCCGGGTGACCAGGTTGAGGTAGTGTCGCAGGGAGGCGTAGTAGCGGCTCAGCTCCTCCGGGGAGGCATCTTCGCCTGGGGCCTCGGGTTTGGCGGGGTAGGCGTCGACCAGCGCTCCCAAGCAGGCGAGGAGGGCCAGCAGCACTGTGACCGTAGCGGGCGACGGCCTGCACACGGTCACCATCTGGAAAGGGAGCATTGGAGCGTGGGGCATCCTGAGCCTCGACCGTGGGAGGCTACGGCAGTGGTTGCCGTCGGGCCCACGCTCCGGTGGCCTGTCTGGGACTCGTACTGGGCTAGGGCTCAGCCACCCTCTCTGTGTTCTCGGGCACCACACTGTCTCTGGCCTCAGTTTCCTCCTGTGCCAGAGTCACAATAAGTCCTGTCTGCCTCCCCACTTCTGCTGCTGCCCAAGTGGTAGAGGAAGGAAGAGATCTCTGCTGGCAGCCCGATTCCCAGACTCTCCTTCCCACCTCTGTTGGCCCCCTTCCAACCACTCAGCCCCAGCTGCCACCAGCCAGGCCTCAGTTTCCCCACAAAATAACTCACTACCAGACCATTCCTGATCCCCAGCCACTCACAGCGATAGCTCCCAAGGCGAGATGATCAGGAGGTGGAAGGTACAGGCAGTCCCAAGGACACGACTGCTGTAGGTGGAGATGCGGCCTCTGCTCAGCGCTTTTCCCGCGGGGCTTATATCCCGGCCTGGAAAGGGAGGGGGAGTCCGAGGGGAGGGGGAGCAGGCAGGGGAGGGCCCTTCCTCCTTCTTTCCTCCACCCCTGCCACTCGCAGAGTTTACAGCCAGCCAGGACGTGATGTCTCCACCTCGCAGGAGCTAAGGAGGCAGCTGCCGTGCTCAGACTCAGGGTCCCAACGGACTGGTTGCCTCTTCTAAACCCTATTTTTACCCCACAGCCCCGCAGTGGCAGGTCTAGCCCCCTAAAGATGTGAGGCCTTCGGATCTAGACTCCTGGGGTAGCCCCTAGGACCAGGGATGTGAGTCCATCTTCCCTAGCCTGTCCTTAGGTGGGAATGGGGAACCTGAGGGAGGACAGGCCTCCTCCAGCCTGTGGAACCCGTGGCTGCTCCTTCCAGGAGGCCTTTGTCTTCAGCTTCTGCTTGCTAATGCCTTTGATAAGGGTCCAGGAGTGACAGGACCCTGTGGGGGGAAAGTCTCTTTTCTGGAGTCAGGGTAGGAGCTTATGACCTTGGCTCCTGACCTGCTGCTTATGATGTTTTTGGGGAGAGGCCTCTCTGGATATTCCATTATATCCATTCTGTATTAAGAGTTGGGGACAGAGGTAGGAGGCAGAAACAGCTGAATGAGCCACCTCTACATCCAGCTTGGCACATACAGATCCTGGTCCAGCTGGGCCCTCCATAGAGCCCCCTCCCAAGGCAGAGCCCCCAACCCCATCTCCATGTCATTCAGGATACCTGGTGTTTTCTTTGGCTGAGTGATGTCAAGCTGCCAAGCATATGCCACTGTCCCCAGCCCATTATAGCTTTCACTGGGGTTTGGGGTCAATATTCTCACTCAGAGCCTTTGAAGGAAATAAGAAAGGACTACCATTAACTGTGCACCTCCTGTGTGCTAGGGAGGTCATCATTTCTGGTACAACAGCACCATGAACCCATGAACTGAGTTCATCTGCATTTTCCAGGTGAGAAAACTGAAACTCTGAGAGGTGATGGTCATAGAGGAAGAGGGTGGGGAAGACCCCAAGAAGAAGTCCCCTCAATCCTGAGGGCAAACAGGTTCTGCACCTTGAGCTCCGGAGTCAGGCATGAGAGCAGGAGATAGGAAGCTGTCTGGGCCACCACCCACTTTGAGAGGTCTGGGTGGGGGAAGCACCCAGACTGCCAATCGATCAGACCCACCTTACCCCCAGGAAGAGAAAGGTCTCTTAGGGAGTCTCCCCATAAAGCTCTTTCCAGCTTCCTCTACAAGGCCTGGCCAGAGCCTTCTGTTTCTAGATACTCCATTCTCATCAGTCCATTGAGGCAAGAGGAGTCATTTTGTCCAGGCCCCTCATTCTGGGCCAGCCCCTCCACTCCCCAGGACAGATGGCTGTGGGTGCTATTTTTAGAGTTCTCCTGAGAGGAAGTGTCCAGGGATCCCTCAATTGCCTTTTTATGGGTTCAGTCACCTGCACTCTCCGGAAATGGCTCTTTATCAGCTAGTCAAGCCCAAAGGGCCCCTGTACAACCCAAGAAACACCAGGGCACTTGCTAAGCATGGAAATGGAAGGAGACACTGGGACAAGGGGATATGGAACCTACCTTCAGAGGGAAGAGAAAAATCATTCTTAGGGAGCCCAGCCTTGTCCTCCAACAGCCCTAGTGTCAGAGAAGAGTCAAGGGTTTATCTTTGAGTTCCCCCAGTCTGAGGTGAGGGGCACAGTTTGATCACTGTGGACCCCTAGTCCTGGGTGGGGAAGGCACTCAACTATCCCTCGAAATCCCATCTGAGGAGTTCCCAGAGCACAAACACAGGGATAAGCCTGTGCCCAGATTGGAGAGGAGATGGAAGAAATAAAAGAATTCTAGTTCTTCATGGAATGACCAAAGCCAGGAGAATGGTTAAGACAGCTGTGAAGTACAAAGTCCTGGGTTCAGATCCCCAGCATCACATACATCCAAAGACAGCTGTGACTCCAGGGTCAGGCTCTAGACAGGGACCCGCCTGCTGAAGGGGCAAGGATATGTGGGGGTGGGGGTGATCTTTGACCTCGCAGCACTAGCCAGGGTGGTGAAGGAGGTTTCTTTGGTGCTAAACCTGGAGGAGAGAGGTGAAGGAGCTTGTAAGGAGCACACAGAAAATCTGACATCCCTGGAACCTGCTCAAGCCTTGGGGACTGCAGGGCCTGAGGACAAACGGGAGGAAAGGAGAAGAGTGAGAAGGTAGAGGACACAGGAGAAGGCCCACATTCATTGCACAACTTCTGAAGAAGTCACTTCCCCATGTACCTTAAAAGTAAAAACCAGTGGGGCCTGAGGTGGTCCCTCAGTGTGGATCAGGAGCCTGCCTCCCACATCCTCACAAGCCCTTCCCATCCATCATAACCCCAGCTCCACTCCCCAATTACAGGGCACGCTGATTGGCTCATTAATCACCACCTCCTCATCAGAGAATTTATTAACCTGTTGACTAATGGAAAGAATGTCTCGCCCTGGATCGATGGGCCCAGCCACCCACCACCCACATGCCCACCACTGTCATCGGCGCATGACTCAGTCACCATGAGACATGTCTCAGGCTGAGGGGCTGATATCTATGAGGAGAGAAACTTTAGAAACAATTGTTATTGTAGACTTGAGACCAAGACCTGCTTCCAACTTGTCCTTGAAGAGTAGGGAGGCAGAATCCCTGGGATTCCTTTGGTCCCCATCCTCAAAGCACCTGGGTCCACCCAGGTCAGGGACACCATGAACCTGGACCCCAGACAACCATTCACTAGGACGACTCATCAATATCAAATGGCCCATGCCACTCATGTCAAAAGGCTTAGCATTCTGTTTTTTTTGTTTTGTTTTGTTTTGTTTTGTTTTGTTTTGTTTTGTTTGTGTGTGTGTGTGTGTGTGCACACGCGCACATGCACACATGTTTTGGCTTTTTGTTTTGGTACCAGGCATTGAACCCAGGGACACTTAACCACTGAGCCACATCCCCAGCCCTTTTAATTTTTTATTTAGAGACAGAGTCTCTCTGAGTTGCTTAGGGCCTTGCTAAGTTGCTGAAGCTGTCTTTGAACTTGTGATCCTCCTGTCTCAGCCTCCCAAGTGGCTAGGATTACAGGCATGCGCCACCATGCCCAGCTAGACTTGGCATTCTGCACCCCACCATCTGCCACCTGCCACCTGCACTCGCTTTGCCACCCCCCCACACACAAGGCCTCTCAGATGCCTCAGCACTGAGCAGTGCTGCTCCACTGCATTCAACCCTCAGGCAAGGCCTTCATGCTCAGGGCCCTTCAGACAGCAGATGGTTGCCGTGCAGCAATAGAGTCAGCTCCTGATTCAAGAGGCTCACTGGCTGGGGATGTGGCTCAGTGGCAGAGTGCTTGCCCAGCATGTATGAGGACCTGGGTTTGATCCTTAACACAAGAAAAAAAGGAAGAAAGAAGCACTTTTTTTTTTAGGCTCCTACTGTGTACCTAAAACTGTTCTAGACACAGGGATAGAACAGAGAATAAACAGGCAAAATCCTTGTCCTTATGGGCCTGTAGAGTGACAGGAAACAGAAAATAAACAACTGAGCATGTGTAAGTCTGATGCTAAGTGTTAAAGAAAAACATGAAGGTGAGGGAGCTGGAGAGTGCCAGTGGGGGAGACTTATTTTATGCAGGGTGGTTGTTGAAGGGCTCCCTGGTAAGGTGGGATTTGAAAGAACTGAGGTAGCAAACCATGAGTCTACCTTGAGAAGGGTGTTGCAGGGAGGGGAAACTGTAAGTGCAAAGGCCCTGAGTGGCAGTGGGGGAGTAGCAAGAGGCCCACATGGCTGGAGTGGAGTGAGCAGCGGGGAGAGTTAGGAGATGAGACTAGGGAGGCAGAAAAGGGTGGGATCATGGGCTTTATAGGCTGCTGTAAGGACTATGGCTTTTTCTCAGAATGAGATGAGGGGTTTGGATGAAAGTGTGACCTACATTCTGGAAGAAGCACTCTGCCTGCTGTATCAGAGTAGGCTGGGGGTAGAGGGCAAGGTCAGAAGCAGGGAAGCCATTAGAAACTGACTGCAATAATCTAGCCAAGAGATGATGGTGGTGGACACACACATGCCCACACGCCTCACAGCAGCAAATGTCCCACACGTGTTTAATCCAAGAACAACTTCCAGTTGTAACCATGTGGAGCTGACATGTAGCTTTCCTCTGGATGAGGGGGTGTGCTAGAAAAGAGCAGAAAAATCCCGGAGTGTGAGCAGCAGCTAGGCTGTGGCTCTGCTCTCTGACTGAGATGAGGATTCCTTGTTTATTGGTCCATGGAAAACTCTCTACCTACCTTCATTATTGGCCACAGCCCAGGGAAATAATGGCTATGGTGATAGTGCTTATGGCAATGCAAGCACATTCACTTTGTCCTGAGCATAAATGTTCTGTTACTTAAAAAGACTGTGGCTTAGCCAGGCACCATGGCGCATGCCTGTAATCCCAGTGGCTTGGGAGGCTGAGAGGAGGATCGCGAGTTCAAAGCCAGCCTCAGCAACAGTGAGGCACTAAGCACTCAGTGAGACCCTGTCTCTAAACAAAATACAAATTAAGGCTAGGGATGTGGCTCAGTGGTCCAGTGTCCCTGAGTTCAATACTGTGACTTCCTGGGCATGGTGGCACATGACTGTAATCCCAGAAGATGGGGAGTCTGAGGCAGGAGGATCATAAATTCAAAGCCAGCCTCAGCAACATAGGCCTTGAGCAACTCAGCAAGATCCTTTTGAAAGCAAAGCTGTAGGAAATCCAAGGATGGTACCCATATTCCCCAGTTTGCCAAGCAGATGGCTTTGTGTCAGTCTTCCTGATACTAGAATTGGTTTCTAAGAATCAGCACCCAAACTATAAAACATTAATTTAGTACATTTTTAAAAAGAAGAGAGAGCAGGCACACAACTCTGGAAACTCTCATCTTCATCCACGGTTACCCAGAGGACTGTGGCCCTCGCCCAACCCCAAGTCCACTCGGGATCTTGGAGGATCTGTTCTCAGGGCAGCCGCTCCCATGTCCCTCCCACCAACACCAGCCTCCAAGAACCTTTTCTATCATCTGTGCTACTCAGAGGCCTCACCTTGACCCTTCTCTGTCACTTGCTTCTCTACTGAGCTCCAGGCAATCCACTGTCACCGGACGTCTGACTGTCTCTCAGTCACCTTAAACTTAAAATCCATGTAGCCTGACTAGCAAAAATAGTGCCTCTCAGTCACTTTGATTCTCTGTCTTGGATTCAGTTTTGGACCTCTCCTCTGCCTCTGGCTCCGAGCTCCAGTTCTGCTGCATGCCCTTCCAATCTGCCAGCCTCTGTCCTCTGTGCCTCCACACCCACCCTGGCTGTTGCCACAGTGCCCAGTCTCCAGTCCTCCCGCCCTGTCTGCTTTTCCCCTGGCCCTCCCTGCTTTCTGTTACACCGCATGATTAACTTATCTGGGTGTTTGTTGATTGTCTAATGGAATGTAGTCTACCAGGGCGTTGGTTTTGTCTGTTTTCTTCCCCGATATATCCCCAGAGCCTAGAACAACATGGCACATCGTGGGGTTCCAATCATACTTGTCGAATGAAGGGATCACAGCCTCACTTTCCATGGCTGCGTGGTATTCGTGCGGTCACATTTTTAAACATGTATCTACACAGACACACACAGACTCTAGAAGACAAAGCTCTCTTTCTTTTGAGCACACTGGCACATACCTATGATCCCAGCCACTGAGGTAGGAGGCTCACAAGTTCAAGGCCAGCTTCAGCAACTTAGGGATGCCCTAAGTAACTTAGGAAGACCCTGTCTAAAAATTAAAAAAATACTAAGTAGGGCATGGTGAAGCTCGCCTGTAATTCCAGC